TAATTAATTTATTTAAATTTTTAGTTTAAGTTAGTTTGTTGTATATATATATATATATATATATTGTGTTTTGTATATATATATATATATATGTGACATTTTTTATTTTTATCAGAAATAACTTTTAATATAGATATAATTAATCATAATTGCAAGTTTTTTTTTATCTTTATCGAATAAATTTTTTAATTTTAATCGTAATTTTTTTTCCGATCACTTATGTACCTAAAATATAATTAAAATTTTGACTTTAAAATTTTCAATTTTATCTTTTCAATTTAAGCAAAATTTTCTAATTATAAGAAGAAATGCAATTTTTAATTAATTAATTTGTATTATTAGGCCCAAAAATTATATGAATGAAAGAAAAAAAAAGAGCTCAAATATCTTTTATTGCTACGGTAACAGCACAATAAAATCGAAATCTTTTTTTTTTCATTTTTGTTTTATTGAATACAGTAATATAATAGCAAAAAAAAAAGTCATTTAAAAAAAAAACGTTTAAATAAATTTTTGATAATCTTTTTATCAAGCAATAATTTATCATTGATAATTTTTATACGAAATTAATGATAATATGATTATTTTAATTTTAATCAATAATTAATCTCAAAGAACAAAAAAAAATGAATAATTTTATTTAAAATGAACTTACGTTAAAAGCCGATGTGTTAAGCCAATTGTTTCCGGTTTACCATTTTTATAAAACATCCGGCAACTACTCTGAATCCAATATATCCGTTGACTACGCATACTTATTAAACGATAAATTAATATACCACTTGCACTATTCTTTGTTACTGAAAATTTTTTCAAATTTTTTAAAAATTTAATTTTTTTTTTGTTAGATCTATTTTAATAAAGTTTTTTACTTTAATGAATTTTTGCTTTTTCATTCTTTTTGAATGATAGATCAAAGATCATTGATGTTTAATTTATCTGGAAAAACAAAAATCATTTAAAATGAACGAAAAACTTGGATTTTGCAAAGCTAAAGCTGACCATATGAGTAATCAATAAGATATATACATATATATATGGTCATTGGTCATTCCCATTGATGTTTATTTTTTCCTTTAAATTACACTTTTTCACTAATTTTCTTCTTCTTCATTTACAAAAAAATTTCTTTTCTTTTTTTTTGCTCTCGAATTTTTGTCAATTTTTTTTTAATCAAGTATAATTCCTAAAAATTTCAGTTCATTAATTTTAATAAACTGCACTTTTTTCTTTTTTTTTTGGTCGAAATTTTCAAAACATTATGCAAAATGTTGACAATTACAAAAGTCTATTTTTTATAGCTAAAAAAAATAAAATTTTTTTTTTTCTAAAACTTAATAAAATAGCTAAAAGTTAAAAAAGCGAGAAAAAAAAGAGATGAGAAAATACGATAGAAAATTGATAGGAAAAGAGGAAAAATTGTTAAAAAATGAAAATTTATTTGATATATTTTGATAATATTTAAGCATCAATTTTATGATCTTAAAACTGACCATATGAATCAATAAGATATTGATCATTGGTCATTCTGTCCAATAATTTTCTTAGCCATTATTATATTTGATAATTAATCAATGAAACCTTCTCTATGTGCTTCAGCAATACATGTCGCATCGTTAACATGAACTAAGCTATAAAAGCTATATGGCAAATTTTTGTCATCCAATTCTAATAACGCTCTGAAAAAAAAAAATAAAATAAAAAGCAAATTTATAAAAAAAATGAAATAAAAAAATTTTTAATGAAAAAGATTTTTTTTTTAATTTTTAAATTAAAAGTAAACTTCATTTGTTATCTGTTGAAACAAGCGTAAAATCAAGAGAATGTTTCGTCTTCAAGATTGGATCATCCATTTGTTGTTGATCGGCAACATTTGGTGGAACAAATGGACTACAAAAAAAAAAAAAAAAAAATAAAAATGGTCAAATGATTGAAAACGAAGAATGGATATAATATTTGATGATAATTTCAATTAATATACTTTAAATATTTAAATGAAACTTTTCAAAATTTTTATCAATCACAAAAAGAAATTAAAT